CCAAAAATTTGTTTTGCCTATGTCACGAAAAGAGGTAAATCCGGCCCTGACTGCAACCCTAACCCTTAGAGAGAATGATGCACTATAACGCTATGCCTTACATACTTGAATGTGTAGCAGTGTGACACTATAAAGGTACTGAGTGATGTTATAGTGATGTCACATCCTGTGCTCCATCATTAAAGCTTTCACAGTTCGCTTCTGCATTTATGGCACGTCTAGTCTAGCCAGAGAACTAACATGACTATACTAATAATCCTCAAACTGATAATTCTGCAACATATTTCAGGTAGGATATCAGTTCCTGCCTATTATTGTTTTGGACGTAACTAGAAAAATGTCTAAGTAATATTATTATTTTGCAGAATCCAGTGATGTTACACAGACGCCAATATTATGGGTTCCACAAGGTGAATCTGCAGAAATGGACTGCAGTCATACTAAAGGTGGACTCTATCTGTACATGTATTGGTTTCGACAGCGGCAGGGAGAAACAATGAGACTCATTGCCTTCATGATTGCAGACAGCAAGCCAGATTTTGGTGAATATTCTGATGATAAATAATCAGCTGAAAAGACTGTAGCTGAGAGAGGGTCTTTCACAGTGAAAAAGCTGCAGCCCGTGAAAATAATTTATATAACATGTAATCCTGCATAACAACCATGAAAGATTATTTGAAATATCAGTCATAAATGTCATGCATTCGAATCGCAATAAGACAAGAATCCAACAGATGGCACTATAATATAACATTGCAGGTATATGAGCGTGGAGGTGGCTCACAGACCTCAGATTTCTCTAACATCTCAGTTGCTTTGAAGGAAACGTGGTGTCACGTGGTTTTTTTGTAACCTCATGGATCCAGTTCTATCCAGTCTTAACCACTATTCCTCTCCAGGCCATTGATAAAAATGTGTCCTGTGTAGTTCTTTACCTAGTGACCTATTATGGATTATGAATAGTATTATTTATTTAAGAGTATTGCTTATAGTGCTTATGGTGTTCAGACATCAACATTAACTTGTTATTTAGTTGTTATGAAACATAACCAAAGTAACATGAATTTGAAAGCACCCATGATGCGAAGGGCTCTGAATGTTCTGTTGAGGTTAAGCAGTAGGCCATAGGCTAGATGCAATAGATAGATAGATAGATAGATAGATAGATAGATAGATAGATAGATTAATTGACTGATTTCCTTCCTTGCTTGTGTAGTTATTTAGCAGTTAGCACAAGAAAATGTTTGTCCCACCTGGTTAGAATTTTTACAAATTAGGCTAGTACACTTAACAGAACAACTAATATATACTACCTAATATATATTACACATGGTTTTGTGTGCTGTAGCTGAATTCTGAAATATAAAGACGGTGGCTTCATGTTAAAATGGAATGTGCTAATACATCTGAATTTTAGAAACAACATTTTGGACAAGATTTAATTGGATGAGGTAAAAGTGGATGCATCAGGACATATATCATTCTCTCATAGTTAAAGTTGTTTATGCAACATATGCTTAACGCACCATCACACTATATTATGCAGTTTTTCGCTGCAGATAAATGTTTATTATTAATGAGACATGTAAATGTGCTATTTCTGTCACTGAATTAACAACCACATATTTACGTTTAGCAAAATACAGAGTTAATACTTTACAAATATAATTTTCATAACAGAGAGCTAATGAAACAAACGACATAGTTTAATATATAGAAATGCCCTGCAGTGTCACAAAATAAGATGGATGTGTCCTTAGACATAATTATGCCATCAATTCAGTCTTATTCTAAATTCACCTTGTTTATATGGAAGCAAAGTGAACAAATAACACTCAGCCTATTTTTTTTTTAACTTGAGTTTCAGTGAACTTCTTTTTCTTTGTAAGCACATCCAAGTGACTTACTGTATAGTACACTTTATGAACATTCCTCTTAACCAACCTGTTATATAGTATCTTTGTCAAGTGCTGATAGTTGATGGATTTCCCCCTGCGAGGTGAAAACCTACAGCCATTTGGTTACCAACCTAGATCTTTTTCCACTAAGCTACACCACCCAACCCCACCTCTAGAGGCACACCATGATTATTTAAGCCTCAAGACTTTGCTGAGTTCAGCTATTCATGGTGCAGTTGTATTTTGCTGTCTTGTTTGTATCATTACAATGGCCTGAAACTATGTGTAAGCTGCTGATTTGCTCAAAACCAGCTTTAAAAAGTTTTAAGTCTTAAATTACTCATTCCAATTATTTTTGTCTCAGGTCTTCAGGTAAACCAAAACCCTTTGGTGCTTATTCTTCAACGAGGGGAGCCACTGAAGGTTGTCTGCTCCATCACAGGCACTAATAACCCAAACCTGTACTGGTACCGTTGGACCCCAACAGATGGTTTCAAGCTGATGTTCAGTTCTTTCAGTGTAGGAATGGTGGATCCAGCAAGCGTGGGGGATTTTTCATCTAACAGATCAGGGCTTCTTCAGATAGTGTTGGAGTCCAAGAGTGTAACCGATGTTGGTTCTGTTGTTTGGTTCTGTGCAGCCAGTCCCCACAGTATGACAGACTACAATGAATGCTGTACAAAAACTCTCAGGGATGAAAACTGCTTTTCAAGTTCATTTGAAGGCTATTGTTTAATTTGAGGCCCTGTCTCAAATTGATTTGTTTGGAAGAGGTGTGACATAATTTTTGTCCAAAAAAAAACAAAATCTACACTAAAATGTACCCCTTGTGTTGAGATTGACTTTACTGTCCCAGAAACCCCAATGACTTATGTGTAAAAGCAATAATCAATTCAAAATTAACCTTTTATTTTCTCTTCAAATGATTTAAATATGTTCCTCTGGCCTAATCAAAACCCGTTTTAATTATTTTATTGAAGTATTAACCCTCTCTTTCATCACAATGTAGAATATCATTTACTGGAAAAACTAACAGCATTTCAATGTGCTTCAGATTACTCAGAGTGAGCGACTGATTCATGATGCATGAGTTCAACATGTTCCAGAAAAACAATACAGATGTGGGGGTGTGTGGTGCAGACTGTTGATAGAATAACCTGCAAGCATGCTCCTCGAATGAATCACCAGTTTCTGCACCAGTTTCCAACAGCTCTTTTTTGTTTCTTATTGGTTTAGTCTGTAGACGTGCATGAGCTTTGAGGCTTGTGTGCAGCAGCAGGTGTGTGAAAGATGCAGGATGAAGCACAAACATCTCGAGAACGTTCTGACCACATCCTCCCCAACACCTCCAAACTGCTTGCAAAGAAATGACACCACATCCTGCTTTCAGCTGCAGCAGTACAGCACTTAAAATCATCTATAAACCATTCAAAGTAGAATATCTCTTCTGGATTTTATTCACATTTTCAAGTAGAAAATAAGCAAATTGTATTAGTTATTTATTTCAGAAGACATATGCATTTACAAAATCAAGTTGTTGCTGTTATTTTCAGTTCACATTTTTCTTATGTGCAATGTTCCAGGAATTTGAGAAAAGCTTTAGAACTCATTATGAGAGAGGCCACATATGTAGTCTTATTTTTCTTATTGCAGTGGAAGATTCTTACGTAACTTAGATAACAACCCACACTTTCCAAAAGTGCAGATTTTCCACTGAAAAAAAAAAAAAACATGCAAATATGTTTCTCATAAAACAAAGGCCTCAGAATTTCATACTATTGCAATGGAAGATTCTTACGTAACTTAGATAACAACCCACACTTTCCAAAAGTGCAGATTTTCCACTAAAAAAAAAAAAAACATGCAAATATGTTTCTCATAAAACAAAGGCCTCAGAATTTCATAAATGCAGAATGTTTTAGTCATCGCACAAAACAGATTACAAAACTGTTTACGTCACATTCTACTTTATTAGTTTCTCGTTGTTAGTTATTCATTCTTATCCAGTCACTATCTATGTTAAACTTTCATGCTTAAAAAAAAGAAGAAAAGAAAAACATGATTACATGTGTGATTTGATGTCATACACAAATAAAACAAACATGAATCTAGTAAAATGTAGGAAATATACAGACATATTACACATTTGTAAATAAAAAGAAAGTCACTTCTGGCGTCTCACTGACAAAGTTACAAGGTATCTCAGTCCTCTGGTAATTGTTTGTTCTTCGCTGAAAACTGTAGGGTAATAAATTCATATCATATTATGGGATCGCATGCATCAATCCATCCATCTATACCTATATATTCATATACTGTTTATGCATATTTGATGTGTGATTTGTGTGTTATAGTTATCAGGAATTACCTTGAGTTTGCACACCACACCAGCCACAATCAGCGCATACAGCAGGCTTTTGCTGAGGAATAGGATGTAGCCAAAGCCAAGCAGTTTCAATCCTTTCGGCTTCACTAAAAACAACAACATATAAAGATATATGAAACAGCACTTTACGACATAAATAAAACTATTATTAAATTAAAGGATATTTAATTAGAAAACTAAATATCAATAATCTATGTTGTCTCATGGAATTCAGCCCAAACCAGCCACAATCAGCGCATACAGCAGGCTTTTGCTGAGGAATAGGATGTAGCCAAAGCCAAGCAGTTTCAATCCTTTCGGCTTCACTAAAACCAACAACATATAAAGATATATGAAACAGCACTTTACGACATAAATAAAACTATTATTAAATGAAAGGATATTTAATTAGAAAACTAAATATCAATATTCTATGTTGTCTCATGGAATTCAGCCTTTGAATATACAGTGGTCTGAAAAAGTATTTGGGCAATTATAATAAACACTATCAACTCTCACTGCAACGTATAAATACGTTAAAGAAGTGGCATCTGCAAATATAATATTGAATAAATTTACTGATATCTACTGTCTTCGGTATATACGTGTGTGTGTGTGTGTGTGTGTGTGTGTGTGTGTTATCCAGCTTAATGGTGCATTTTCACCTTTTTGACCATTTATGGTGTTTGTGACATTGATACAATCCTCTCCATTGAAGAAATGGACGGTGCAGGTGAAGTTATTTTTGGGATCTATCCAGTCCATGTCATCAATTTTCATTCTGCTGCTGATATGGTACATTAATGTTGTCTTGTCCTGTTGGGCTGAGGTGTCAGTTGAGACCCAGTCCTGTCTCTCTTCGCCATTCACTTTCCAGGACACGCTCACATGATCAGGATAAAAGCCTGTGGCCACACACACTAAAGTTGACCATTTATCTGTCTTGTTCTGGGAACAGAGTTCTTTTGGAGAAGGTGGTAGGATCTTGACTTTAGGTAGAGTGATGTTTGCAGCTTGAGAAGGAAAGCGGATAATCAGGAAGAATCATTTGCAACAATTACTTTGTAATTACTCTTGTAATTATTACATGCATCAATGAAATGCTTGATTTTGATTGGTCATTCAGAGCAAAGGCTGGTGAATTTATTTATTTATACAATGATTATTTTTTTACTGTATGCGGATTAAACACTGTAGCCATCCAAAGAAATGCACACAACAACTTATATAAAGTTGCTTTGTTTAAATATACATTAAATGTCTAGATGCTTTGGTTTGTGCAGTTTCAAATCGTTGTTATGCTTTTAACACCTGTAACTTATTTTAAATACCTCTATTTTTACATTTATGTATTTATGGACTTCATTTATTTTTTCTTAAATGCTCCCTTCTCTTTGAAAATAAATAGGGAATTAACATATTATTAATAATAATACATTTACTGAATAAATAAAAATGTATTCATTAACAAATAAATAAGCATTTTACATGGATAAAATAATCTGTACATTCATATTTTAGTGGTCTATGTACTTTTTGTTTTCTGTAACCAATCCTTTTTGTTTTTTTTCATTTCCATGACATGTACAATATGACCCATTTTACTGCATTTCACAAATCATACAAGTACATTTACAAGTACTCTTAAGTACAATTTAAGAGTTTTCAAATTCAGACTTACCCAGAACCGTCAGTTTGGCCCCTTCTCCAAATTCTAGTTTTGCGTAGCTATTACACGATGATTTATCTCATTACCTAAACCTCAACAACTAACAGCTAATAATGGCCAATGGTACACTGTTTTTGGGGGCCCCTTTTCAGTTTGAGACCGTGAAAGCCATAGTGGCCTCCCAGCTGTTACCCAGAGAGGCCTCTTTTGAGCAGCAGGTATTGTAGACTGAAATGTAGGATTTTTTTGTGCATTTAAATGTGCATTATTATTTTAACAGTAATTAAAACTAACAAAAATATAAATATATACAGTGGGCCCAAGAACAGTCAAAACACTGTAATATAGGATAATAAAATAACAAACCAAATACCATATTCAGAGTTTTTCTGAGAACTAACCTCACTGCTCTTATCATTTCCACAATTAATATTAAACAACTAGACATCCAATAAGTGCAGTTAATCATTAACTATGTACTTATATTTAGCAATTAAAAAGTGGTCAAATGCATAGTATTTTAATTTTACATAATGTGTTGTTTAAATCATATTGCAAACAAAATATGCCAGAGGAGGTACTTTATGGGAGAAAGAAATGTTCGGGTACAGGTCTGCAGCATTCAGTAACTCAAAAGAAAAAATGTAGATTGTTTTATCCAATTTTTTTTAAGTGGTGGGAGCCCTAAAATGCCGATAAATAATAATCCAGATATATGATGAGATTTCTATTGCTTTCATGTTTATTCAGATGAACAGTTCACCTAAAGAAGTAAAAAGTTATTTATTCCTAATTACAATGTTTTAGCGACCAGTAACAGTGTATTCATTAGGGGGCCTATATAAAGACCACATAGACAACAGAATATAATCAACCAGTTAAATCATTGTTACCATGTTGTTACTTGATTGAAAGCAGTTGGGAGATCATTTTCATGAACGTTATTGGCTACAAATTGTCTTTTACTTTTATGAATTTTGCAGGTGCTTTTATTCAAAGCAATTCAAGGTATACAATTTATGCTCTCTGAGAATGAAACCTTTAACAGCAAGTGCCATGTACTCTACCAAATTATCTACAGCAAAAAAAAAGCTATCAAAATAGCTATTAGTCTTGAATTGGTGAACAACATGCCTATAAAAGAAGGGAGAATTTTCTTTGTGGGTAATAAGCATGTGTTATAGATTTTATTTATGTATAAAACAAATAAAAAAAATACAGTAAATCTTAATATGAAAAACAATGAATTATATTTAGCTCTGTTAAGTCTGTTTTACTAGTATAGTAGTTTGTTATCGAATTGTAACTATGTACAGTAGCAAGGAAATAAGCAAAAGAAAAACAAATATTATCAAAAAACATTTTATGATTAATCTGATCTGAAGTACCTGCAGATTTTCACTGGGATACACACTCAGAAAAGAACAGAAAGAGAGAAATAAAACGAAACAATATAGAAAGAATCTTCAGTTATATAATCAGCATCTCTTCTGGATGGAGTAAATGGATTGAGTTTTCTTGGTAACTCCGTCAATCCAGGAATGTTCAGTTCATTCACTTTCCAGATGAACCCTGTAACAAATATCACATGAACATTGAGACATTCTGAAAACGAACACATGTGACCAAACACTTAACGCTTATGTTGTTAATATTCTTCCAGCACGTATGTTTGAAATTATACATTATAATTACAAGTTCATCATCCTTACCTTTCTCCATACATACACTAAGATGACAAGACCATACAGTACACTCTTAGCGATGAACACACCGTATGCCAGCTTCATCCTCCGTGATGATTTTACGTAGTCTTCTGGATATTAAAAAATCAAATCATAACATATTATTCAGCATGACATTACTGATAAACCTTTGACCGCTGACCCTAATTCATCTTTTGCAGATAGACATCCAAAAAGAAAAGAGCAAACCCTTACCTGGCTCATATCCACCCCCTGTAATTAGAAAGTAATTGATTAGAAGACCCAAATATTAAAATATTAAAATTACTTGAAGCATGTATTGTAAAATGCATTATATTCACAGACAGCAGTTTCTTTGTTTCATATTTCATCATTCAACTTGTGTCTAATGAAATACCTGCAATTCCATTGATTTCACCATGTCTGTTTATGGAAACATCTGTTTCATTGTAGAATCTCACAGTACATCTGAATGTGTTTTGTGGTTTGAATTCTTTTTTAGAGACTTTAAGTCTGCTGGTTATGCTGAACAATTTTGTTTCTTTGTCTTGAGTGGCATAAGGGTCTGTCGCTACATCATCTTTTATTTCTTTGCTTCCAACGGTCCATGTTATGCTCACATGGTCTGGGTAGAAGTTTTTGGCCACACACACAAGAGTGACTTTTTGCTTACAGCTCGTCTCAGTTCCAGAGGGTTTTAGAATTTCTACTTCTGGTTTTCTTATATCATGCTCTGTAAAACAATATTATACATTATAAGCATATGTAACAAACTATTAGTATAGACATATATACATTAACAATTTTGGAAACCAATTTTCCCATGATATTTCAGTCTGCTGAGACGTAAACTAAATAATCATGCAGTTTTATGTTGATGATGATGATTGTTATATTTGTTATTTTTATTATTATTGTTGTTGTTGTTATAAAATAAATTACACAATACTGTTTATAACCCCTTTGCACAATACACAATTCCTACTAAGAGCAGTTGCTTCTTCAACAGGAAAACCACAATCAACTAATGTACTGTCGCTGGTGTATCTGTACTCGTCGCTTTACAGTTATATGCAGCTCATAGCAACTATCTTACTTGATGGAGCATAAAGTATATCAGCAGTATTACATGCTTATAAAAACACTGATTCATATAGTGCACATCAACAAGAGTTGCTAAAGTTCTAGAGGAACTATAAGCTGGTGTTTCACATTATACATCACCTATATATTCAGTTATTCTTCTTATTAACTAACTCTTAACTTCAACGTTTGCCTCAATGCACTCCTAATTTGTTGCTCATTAATAGTTAGTAAGTTAGTTGTTATGTTTAGTTATGGGGTAGAATTAAGAGATCTAAAATATGGTCATGCAGAATAAGACATTAATAAGTGCTTTATAAGCACTAATAAACAGTCAATATGCTATTAATATGCATGCTAATAAGCAACTAGTTAATAGTAAGAATTGGTCCCTAAACTGAAGTGTTATCAAAAAAACATTATTTTCTTTCTTACCCAGAACAGTAAGTTTGGTCCCATTGCCAAAGTATGCAGGTCTGTTGTTCACACTGCTCAACGGCTACAGTAAAACTCTTCCTATCACTTTAACCTGATTACATTCTACAATGCATGACTATGACACTCAGCATACAAATTTTCAAAAATGCTATAGATCATTGACATATTATGAACAATTTGAGTGGTAGTAAGGCAAATAGCTTGTCTAAAGGCTGACTATTATCTAAACCTGTAATTCTGGTACTTCAAACTCAGACCTCAAAGCTCAGCACTGTTTTTAGCACAGAATGTTGTCAGAAGTAGAACAGTGACAGTGTTCTACTCTTATGCCAGTGACTAATTCATACACCATTTACTTATTTGGGTTTAGTTGAAATTATGAATTGCAGTATTAAGAAATAAAAGGACATTGTCACAATTTCACCCACAAATGCACAGAACTTGCAAACTGATAAAATACCAAAAACACAAGTAAACAAATATTCTTACCTAAAACTGTAAGTTTGGTGCCATTGCCAAAGTATGCAGGATTGCCAAAGTTCACACTGATTCTAAGCTACAGTTAAAACCTCAAATAGAGTGGAGATCATGTGAACATTATCCTACTATATTTAACTCTAGTTCTTCTAATTGACACCATAATTTTAGATATACTCTTTATATTATACTATATCAAAATCATTTAAGCTCTTGAAGAGCAACATTCTCCATTTACTCACCTAAAACTGTCAGTTTAGTTCCATTGCCAAAGTATGCTGGGTTGGCATTGTTCACACTGATTTTATGCTACAGTTAAAACCTCAGCTATAAGGCAGATGCATGTGAATATTGCCACTTATCCAACTATTTATGTATTCTTAAAGATGAAGATGAAGTCCAAGTATTCCAATTCACCGTCATTTTAGATGACTTAAGAAAATTATTAAATATCAGATTGCTCAATTTACTCACCTAGAACTGTAAGTTTAGTGCCATTGCCAAAGTATGCAGGCTGTGATTGTTCACAATGATTCTAAGCTACAATTAAAACCTCAGCTATACTGGAGATCATTGCCACTTATTCCACTTTATCTAACTTCATTTTTAAAGACTGCACATATTTTCAGTTCTTCTGATTCATGAGAACACCATTTGCAGATATCCTATTA